AGAGTAGAGAGAGAGAGAGAGAGAGAGAGAGAGAGAGAGNGGAGGAGAAGAGAGAGCGAGAGAGAGAGAGAGAGAGAGTCGTCGGAAGTATTTTTCTTTTTTTTCTCCACACACGGGATAATCTCTTTCGAGATATTAATATTTCGAGAATGATTTTTCGAGAATTATTATATATTCAAATATATTCGCGCACCTTTCACACTCGACAAATGAAAGTTGCCACGTAATTAACCAAAATCCATCCATCATATAAATCATGCGCCATTAAACAATTTTGGAACAACTTCTAAATTTACCAAGTGCGACAATCATGTGCGACCATTGTAGGTGCGTATTCTTTTTCCCCCCTCCCCCACCCCTCCCCCTCCCCCTCCCCCTCCCTCTCCGCCGTTTTTTACGTAGCTTAACCGTAGCCTCGATCGTTGCGTATATCTTTCCAGAACTTACAAATCGATGCTGAAAGAAGGGGATAACGGTAAAATGTGTTATCAGATGGAGATATCAAAACCCATCGGTGTGCAACCCATCGGCATGCAACCCATCAGCATGCAACCTATCAGCATGCAACCCATGGCGCCGATGAAGCAATCGTAAGATCCTCTCCATCCCCATCTCTCTCTCTCTCTCTCTCTCTCCTTACGATTCTCTTCAAATTTTTAATAGAGTTAAACGAGGGAATGGTGGCGTGCAGAGACTACGGTTAACGAACCGGTATTTACAATTTGCAGCAGGAATCTCGACGCCGATTCCACGGGTTGCTGCTCCTGGAGGAAGACCTGCTGCGACGGGATGTGTTGCAGGCACGTGGGCAACTGCTGCGCCACGGGGCTGGAACCACGAGTGCCCGAAAAACCGACCCCTATCTACCCCACTTATCCCACTTATCCGATTATGCAGCCAACACCCATCCAACCATCTTATCCGCCCGCCGCTTACCCTTATCCCACCGTTGAAGTAGCTCGTAAGCGTCCTGTCCTTAACATTTTCTATGTTAAAATTGCACGCCGATTCCTTCCTCCACGATTCGAGTAGTCGAAAGCGTAGTCGAAAGGGTGTCCCTTAATTGAACGTCGTTTCCGGGAACGATCGTTTCGCTCTCAGTTTCCACTGGATGGAGCCGAGAACGGGAGAGAAATTAACTTCTCTTATGGTCGGAGGGGAGAAAGGTCATCCGGGAGGATCAACGGAAGGGTTGAAAAATGCGCGCCAATCGTGGGAGGACGTGCGAGGATTTTTGGCTCGCGTCGTCCTTTGGGATTCGAGATTTTTCTAGGTCGCTCGTAGCGATAGTCGTCTCTCTTCTTTCCGATTAAAATCATCTCTCTCTCTCTC